TAACAGGAAGTAAGGCTGCGCATGGCATTGTTTATAGTAGACATGGAAGATAAAGTTTATATCTAAGCTTTTTGAATGGAATATACTGAAAACACTCAATGACAACTTCCTGAATGATAGCAGAGTTACTGTATATACATTGGATAATAATGCATGCAGATGAAAAGGACTCATTTAACATGTTTAAAAAGATGAAGGCATTTGGAAGAATCAAAGAAGAATTTGTTGGTGTTATAATGGTAAGTCGCATTTATTTGGAAAGTTAGAAACGTAATATGAAGAATGTGTTTCTATCTTGTTGGATATTTTGTTGATAAAGAAGTGGAGAACATTTTAAAAAATATCAAGATAAATAAATGGAACAAGTGAAATTTTTGTAAACGAAATGGGTTTATATTTGATGAAGGTCTACATGTACTTTCCTTTTTTTTATTTGTGTGCTCCCTCTACTAGTGTTGGTACACACAACTGTCATGTTAGTACGACGTGCGTCCTTTACTTTGCTCATTTGATTATTTTAAAATTATATATTTGAATACTTTAGAATCATAACAACATATTCTATATAATTTTTTGAATTAACGCATTGATACATGTGACAAAAACACTTATAAAATGATTAAAACAATCTTCATTTCCGATAGAAATGTCTGTATATTTTTTTTTATAATTATTGTTATTTATTATTATTTTATATTTATTATTATATCAAGCACGAATATTTTCGGGTTCTAATGTGAAAAAAAACATTTTCAAAGATTTGCTCGCTCTTTTTAAAAACAACGCTTTTGAAATAGGATATACTAGTATTTATTTGTTTAACTGGGGCTATAGGGAATAAGAATGGCAACCTTTCAATTTCATGTATTGTGAAAAAACAAAGTACGATCACTTTAGATCATGAGTACTGAGAGTCAAAGTCTACTGTTGTTTAATCTGTAATTGCTAGAATTTAGGACAAAATTCTGGCAAGTGATTCTCATCAAACTATAAAATTTGGCTTCTATTCTATTGAAATAATTGAAGATTTATTGTAAATCAATTTGTTCACAGGTCCTCGGGAGTGAAAATTAAATAACCCAAATTTTAGAACATTAAAATCCAGAACTCAGGTTTTTAGAATCTGAGAACAAACCTGTTGCATACAGGCCTATAAGATTTTTTCTTAATGTTCTCATATTAAAAAGAAACAAAATAAATCAAATAACAATATTGTTAAAACTGTGTTGTCAAGCAGAGTCATTTTGTCAAGATAATTTTTTACCCCTCTCCCCTACAACAAACACACATATGTGCGTTAATTTATGTATATACGTACAGTATTTGGTTACAAAATCTTCCGTCATCTTGAATTAAAAGCTATCGTATATTAGTATATTAATTACATAAGATTTACAAATATAGGATACGCATTTAATACAATCAAAATCACGACACTTCATCATGGTAATATCAAATCATGACCCCTGCCGGTAGTGTGGGGTCACAACAGCTGATGAAAGTTATGCAAAGGAATTTAAGGGATAAGTTTAAAAAAATCAAGAATAAGAAAGCCATAATAAGTAAAATTTATTGAGAAGCATCCTCAGGTGATGTAGATACAAATGTGTTCAATGCATCTGCCTGGGGGTAGGGCAATGCAGTGGAGATTAAATGTCGGGACATTTTTTTTTTTATTTAAACTCTTCAATAATTAACCGATTTAGCGATGTGGCCTATCGGCCTCTATTTTAAATTCTGTTTACTTGTTTAAATTTAAGATTCTATAGAATATATATATATATATATATATATATATATATATATATATATATATATATATATATATATATATATATATATAAAACAGAAAATAAGAGTCATTTAAATTTTGTGCACTATCCATAGATTTTGTACATGTACTTCTATCACAGGGCATAAGATGGAGGTAAACAACCCAGCAGGACCGTAACCACCAAGATGTCTGAGGAGTAAAAACAGAAAACACATAGATGTGTAAAGGATACGTTTATATAGAGACCACAGAAAAGTATTAAACAAGAAATCATCGGTATAATATTCTGATGACGCTTTTAAAGTATATTGGATATATAAACAATAGTGGATCTTTTATTCAAGAAACATCAGGGAAAATTACTCAACAGTTCAAAGTGGAAGGATTGCTAAAACGTGTAAGTGAAATTTCGTATCAGATGTCAAATGATACAGATCAAGGCCCAGCCACTAGGATTTTACCACAATGTTACCCACGAGCTGGAACTAGGAAACCCACCTCACAAACAGAATTTGGAACAGTCAGTAATTTGGACCTTGACTCTCGCAAAGCATGTCAAAGTTGTGAAAAGGGATACAAATATATTTCCATCAATCTTAGGAGTAAAACATGCATAATATCAACTCTTGCATATTGTGATTGTGTTAGACTTGCATGTATCATTTTAATTCTATTTGGAATGACTACATAATCTATAGAAGACTAATACATGATCTATTTTTTTTTTATTCTTAAAGTGTGTGCCGTGTTCATTATTTAAATGGTGATGATCCTCTCAGCTCATTGTTCCCTTTTAAATATGCAGTATGAATTCCTAATGTTTTCTATATCTGTATATGAGAATACTAAGTTAATGTATTTTGATTGCTTCACCCAAAGATTTCATCAGGGGAGTGTATGAATTGAATTGTTTAGCTCAAGATGATTTTTGGGGCTCCTATGTCAAAGTATTAGAGCGTTTGCTCGAGAGTCACGCAGTAAAGTGTTAATCCTTACGTCGTGGTTTCCCGCCCACTGCAGGACATGCAGACTAGGTGCAGGCAAGGAAAAATTCTCCGATTACAAAGGGACGTTAAAGAAACAAAGAAAAGTATTTTTTCGTTTGAAAAAATGAGTTAAAAGAAGTGTTTCATTCAGCTGTGTATTGGGGTGGAGATAAAACAGTACATGGAGGGTTATTTTTATATATTGTTTATATACTACTGTGCCTTATTGGAGGAAGCACATTTGTTTTTGAAATTGTATACACTTTTTTGACATTGTATTTCATATTTATTTTGATCACATGTTGATAGGTCCACTTATTGTTGAATTGCAAACCTATCAACATAAAGAGGAGGTAAGATGTAAATTTTCGTCTTTTCTGGTGAATCCACCAGCTTTCTGTCCTTGTGTATAGAAACGAACTTAGTCATTGTAAAGGAAAACTACGAATGCTTTTTGATTTTAATGCTTTTGGTGGATCCACCAAACTCCCCACTTTTAATAAATACACAGGCAATGTTGACAATATATCATTTAAGTATTCTTGAGTATTCCTATTTGCATTTTGGTGGATCCACCAAGTATTTGTAAGTGAAATCGAGAATGCCTTGTTATTTGGTTTTTTTTTTACAGTTTGGTGAGTCCACCAAACTCCTCTCTGTATTTAAGGACAATTTAGTTGAACTTTGGGTTACATGTAGATTTTTGACTTTTCTGGTGGATCCACCAGCTTTTTGTCCTTGTGTACATAAATGTATTAAGGAAGTATCACTAGGTAATTGTAAAGGAAAATTATGAATGCCTTTTGATTTTTAGCTTTTGGTGGATCCACCAAACTGCCCACTATAGATAATTGCACGGATAATGTTGACAGTATATCATTCAAGTATTCTTGTGTGTTCCTTTTTGTATTTTTGGTGGATCCACCAAGTATTTGTGAGTAAAATTGAGAATGTCTTGTTAGTTGATTTTTTGCATTTTGGTGAGTCCACCGACTCTGTATTAGGAACAATTTTAGTTATACTTTCTTTTTTAGTTTTCGGTGGTTCCTCCACTCAGTTTCTCTCAATGGGTTGTTTCAGTGTCTTAACACTGGTGGATTCACCAACGTCGTTTTTAAAGTATCATCTTTATCAAAAGTAATTGAGAATTTCACCAGATTGCTTTTATAAATTTGAGCTGAATTGTCTATTTGTATTTTTGGTAGAATCACCAAGTTTTCTTGAAGATATTTCAGTTGTTTTGTTGGTAAGTTCACCAATTCTTTTAATGAATTGTAGAATTATGTATGGTCAAATTCACTCTTGTTTTCTTGTTGGAATCACCAAGATCAATCTTAACTTGAAGATATTTGATAATTCAAATTGGTGGATTCACCAATCCTTTGACTGTGAATATGGAATACCGATACATTATTGATCTGTTTTAACATAAATATTGGTGACCACACCAATTCTTAACTTATTCAATAACGAAAATGAATAAAAAAAATTGTCGATTTCTGAAATTGCATTGTCTTCATTTTTCATTTTGAATTAAAAAAAGAGGACACGAATAGAAAATCCTCTTTCTTAATGGAAACAGTTTTATTTACATGACAGTGATCAACAAACCATGAACATTTTCATATACATGTATGCATATACACAAATGTCTATACACAAAGACATAAAAAAGTCATGAACAAACTACAGGAAAAATGTAAGAACAAACAATCTATGACAGTGACCCACAGTCCACCATGAACAGACACATACATGTAAATATGACAGTAATCCACAAACCATGAACAATCATATACATGTATGCATATACACAAATGATATAAAAAACATTAACAAACTACAGAAAAAAAATTGTAAAATGTTAGAACAATAAATAACCGTGACCCACAATCCAAGAAGTTGAACCGATATGACAATGACCTACAAACTATACACAGACTATGGAACAACCAATATACCAATATATAGAAATATTTACCTCCTGGAGAATATTGATATACTATTCAAGCTCAGTAGCCCTTTTCACAAAAAATCTTACGACTAAGATTAAAATTTTCCAATTCTTCTTTATGTACCTAAATTGAAGTATGTTACAAAAAATCTTATATTTCTATTACATTACAGTATATTGAGAATTATTCTTCTGAAAAAATAATTTTCTTTACTAAACAAAGAAATTACAGAGTTGTAAAATTTTAATCTTACTCGTAAGAATTTTTGTGAAAAAGGCTACTGATACTATAATTAACAAGCATTTTGACAATCTAAAAATAAATTATTAAATTTTAGAACTAAAATTTGATTTTATTAACTTTGTTAGTGTAAAAATCCTTCAAAAAATCACACAAAATACGAAATCTGATGTACAGGTTCTAGACAGACATTACGTGAAAAATTGATGTCACTTTATAATTCTTTTTTTCCTATAGAACAGATATATATTTTATCACCTCTGACTTGTGAACATGACTGTTTAGTCTTTATTTATCATTTATTGCATAATTGAGTTTTAATAAAACATAATTTCACCACGCCAATTTAATTTCTTGTTCGTCGCACATCTGGTGAAAAAAGTAAGAGCGGGCAAGAGATTAAATAATAATATTATAACTTTTTCGTATGCAAAATTTTTAGGCATAACATGAAAGAAATTGAGTGACAATTATATTTTTTCTACTTTTTTCTGATTTGTAGTAAACAGATTTAAATTATCAAAAATAGAGCGGAAATAAAACAGAAACTGGCACAGAATTTCCCAGGTGCAGGAGATTTAAATTAATATTATTTGTATAGCTTTGTTCAAATAAGAGCATGCGGGTCTGACAAGCAAAATATTAAATTGGAATGGCTTTTGTATTTGATTTTATCTATGAAAATTGATAATGGCACATGTCACGTATTCACATCAAAACTTATCACATTATCACTTTTGGAATTGCAAAGCAGTGTATCAATAGACTTTTCATATTTGAAACTAATTATTTTTTTTTTCTGCATAATAAAGCATAATTCAAAATGTACCGGTAGTATTTTCAGATTAAGATGGACTTAACTGTAGAAAAAGACAGTTTTATATTCAGTCCATATATCAGCTTCAGAGCAAATAATTAACCACACACACATGAACACCATTAGGGTCTTGGCTTATCTGCGGAAAAAGTTTATATTCTGCAAAATGGTCTTCACTGGTTTGTGGAACATGTGCAAGTTTTCCATCAGGGTCTGCCTCAATAATCCACTCTAAGGAACATGCAAAGAAGAACTGACAATGTAATATAAGTTATGCTACAAGCCTTGTATTGAAATTTCCTCCTATATTTCAGAAGAGTTACACATACCTGTACTAAAATGCCTAAGCTGTTGAACATGTGAATTTACAAGGTCCTGACTAGTCTGTACAATCTGTGGAACATGTAGAAATGCTGCAACAGGGTTTGCCTCCAAAATGCTTCCTATAATATATGTGCAAAACAAAATTAATTGTGATTATATTTATGCCTGCAACTACATTCAGATACCTTTAATGTAAGCTATTTTGATGCATTTGAATAGAAATTTAACATGCTATTAAATAAATGTTTTTAACATAAAATAAATTAATAAAAAGTATCAAATAAACTAATTGTTTTTTTATATAACACTAAACAGCAAGGGCAATGGTCACCCAGGTGTAAATTGTACAATCAACTGAGAAGTCCTATTAGGTAGACCCTAATTGTAAGGACCATTATGACAATTTATCAAAGGATCTTGGATCAGGCTAAACAAGAAATATACTTAAACTTCAAAGTTCGCAGAAATGTTCTTTCTATAAATATCTACTTGATGGGTTTTACCTACCGTATTATTTAAGAAATTCAATTCTGACTAAGTTTCAAACATAGGTAATCAGAGATTACAGAGCTCACCTCAACGAATGTTGTCTTTAAGTAAGGCAAAGTCCCACACTAAACTAATAATCTAGGAGTGTGCATCCCTAGATGCAACATTTATGCAATTTTGGTCTGATAGGGCTTGCAGTTACTTGGGAATAGACTTATCTGAAAACTTAAAACTAGTCACTCATCCAGAAAATGTAATTCAAATCCAGCATCCGAAGCAAGTTTTGAGATTGTCCGTCCCTTGATGCATCATCCATGCGATTTGGTTCAGATAGGCCTTATAGTTACTTGGAATGAGATCTGCTCCAAAAACTTTAACCTGGTTACTCATCCGGAAAATGTAGGTCAGATCCAGCATCCGAAGCAAGTCCAGTAGTGTGCATCCTTAGATGTATCATCCATGCAAGTTTAGTCAATATAGGGCTTATAGTTACTTGGAAATGACATCTGCTCCAAAAACTTTAACCTGGTCACTCATCCCAAAAATTTAGGTCAGATCCAGCATCTGAAGCAAGTCCAGTAGTGTGCATCCTTAGATGTATCATCCATGCAAGTTTGGTCAATATAGGGCTTATAGTTACTTGGAAATGAGATCTGCTCCAAAAACTTTAACCTGGTTACTCATCCGGAAAATGTAGGTCAGATCCAGCATCCGAAGCAATCCAGTAGTGTACATCCTTAGATGTATCATCCATGCAAGTTTGGTCAATATAGGATTCATAGATACTTGGAAATGACATCTGCTCCAAAAACTTTAACCTGGTCACTCATCCATAAAATATAGGTCAGATTCAGCATCCGAAGCAAGTCCAGTAGTGTACATCCTAAGATGTATCATCCATGCAAGTTTGGTCAATATAGGGTTCATAAATACTTGGAAATGACATCTGCTCCAAAAACTTTAACCTGGTCACTCATCCATAAAATATAGGTCAGATTCAGCATCCGAAGCAAGTCCAGTAGTGTGCATCCTTAGATGTATCATCCATGCAAGTTTGGTCAATATAGGGCTTATAGTTACTTGGAAATGAGATCTGCTCCAAAAACCTTAACCTGGTCACTCATCCGGAAAATATAGGTCAGATCCAGCATCCGAAGCAAGTCCAGTAGTGTGCATCCTTAGATGTATCATCCATACAAGTTTGGTCAATATACTGTAGATTCCTAAATATACGCGAGGAATAAATTATCGCGTAATTACGCGAGAAGCACAACTCGCGAAATAAAATTACTCGCTTTTATTTTTATGGTGTTGAAATCAATGTAAAATATCTCGATCAACCGTCCACTCGCGAATTATTGTATCGCGATTTGACGTAAAAGAGTCATTTCGCGAAAATAAGTACTCGCAAAAAATAAGGAATCTACAGTAAGGCTTATAATTACTTGGAAATGACATCTGCTCCAAAAACTTAAACCTAGTCACTCATCCGGAAAATGTAGGTCAGATCCAGCATCCGAAGCAAGTCCAGTAATGTGCATCCTTAGATGTATCATCCATGCAAGTTTGGTCAATATAGGGCTAATAGTTACTTGGAAATGAGACCTGCTCCAAAAACTTTAACCTGCTCCAAAAACATTAACCTGGTCATTCTTTAGCTGAAATTCCAGCATCTGAAACCTTGACTGGTACAATAAAACACACTAGAAGCATCCTCCATGCACCTCTGACTAATATAGGCCATAGAAGTACTTGAAAAGAAAACTGCTCCAAAAACCTTAACCTGGGACGCCGACGCCGACGCCGAGGGTATTACATAAGCTCCCCCAACTTCGTTGAGGTGAGCTAAAAATGTATATCAAAGTTAAGATTATTTTCACACCTTTTAGCTATTGAAACTGGATATAATAAAGCAAACAGAGCCCACTGGAAATGTTTTTTTTTTGTGTCATACTTGTGTCAAGGATGAATATCATTTTCTACTACCGTATATACTCGGCTATAAGTCGGTCCGCCTATAAGTCGGTTGTATTTTTTGAGGTTATTTTGGAGGAATTTGCCATTGACCCGCTTATAAGTCGGTACAACTTTTTTGCCAGAATCAGTTGACAATTTCAAATCAATGGTGTAATGTTTTAACCTGGTTTTGATCAATATTTTTAGAAATGACGCCGATATTTAATTTTAAATCATAAGAAAAATATATAATACACACTTAAAGATAAAAATAAAATTATTAAAATATGTAAATACTTGTGTTTATGTGTAATCTTAGAATACATAAATGATATAATATATCCAGACATTGTTCAGTGAAAATCATTGGAAATGTTTATAAAATACTACATTTCGCTCTCCAGAAAAATACAAATCTTTTTATGACTCGCCTATAAGTCGGACATAGAGTTTTGGACCAAATTTTAACTCCCAAAAAACCAACTTATAGGCGAGTATGTACGGTAGTATGTCCTGTTTATCGAGATTATCAAAGCAAATTATTTCTTTTTAAAAAAAACATCCTTACATATAAATTACTGCAATTGTTCAATACTAAGAACTTTAAGGATATGTGTAACCTAGGTAAATATATTTATTACAGCATGAGGCAAAGAGGTGATCCTGTACATATAATCAAATATCAAGGTGATCTTGTAATCCAATAATAATATTCACTCTAACCTTGTCTTAGAGGTATTATTTTCAATAATTTACTTTATTTAGGCCAAAAAAAAATAACAGTCTTGTTTTTTTTAAATTTTGGAAGGAAAAAATCGAGAATTTCCAGAATTTCATCATTCTGTCACCATAATCGTTTTCCGTGTTAACACAAAACAAGCATTTCATGAAATTCTTGTTTTAAATGTGGACTTTCATAGAATACCACTTGAGTTTAGTCAAAAGACATGAAATTTGATTTTAAAAGACAATATTGACCTGTGACATGTTTAATTTTATCTTTTATTAGTTCATATCCAAAAAATGTTGTCGAAAAAAAAAATAAAATGAAAATATAAAATAAAATAATTTTCCTACCTACCTACCCTATTTTTTTTCAGGCTGGTAGCAGGAAACAAGACTATTTTTTTTTTGGTCTTATCTAAAATATGGATCACAAAAAGATGTTGTTTTTTCCCCATCAATTTAATTAATTCATCATTTTCACCAATTGCTATTTTCCTATTCTTGGGAAAAAAGTTCACAAATTAATATATTTCAATGTATATGATGTAAACTTCAGAAACTTGCATCTGCTGAACATCAATTTTAGTTTGTCCGCAAAAAAAAATCATTAATCATCAAGTCGTAATGTTACGACAGCATGCTTTAATAATGACTACTTGTACAGTTTGATGGAACCACGGACCTATATTATATGTCCCTGACAGAATGGCATCCAAACGTCAAAAACTTTTTAGAACCTGACCTTGTTATTGACACATTTGGTCAATTGCTTGCATATTACAACTAATTAAGTGTTTTGGCAGCATTAATAATGACTGTTTAATGGGTTAGGTACGTACTATGTAATAATAAGTAAACATGACAAACAGCTGGCAAAGTCCTGTCTCAATAATTGTCAAACTTGGTATTTTCTTTTGAATAAATTTTAATTCTAGGATCAGTCTTCTTGTGTGGTTGTGGTTGTATTAATAAAAATATTTCCTTAAACCTAGCAAATTGTTTATAGTCACAGTAATACCTTACATCTTTGATTTAGTAAAGACATAAAACATACAGGGTGTTTGTTCCTTGTTTTACTAGTGTTATTCACAAAATATTTTCATTATGGCAAGTGAAATATTCTGAAATGGTGGCCAAAATTTTTTTTGGTCCTCATTTAGTGACCTGAAAGTAAGTGTGACTTGGAACACTGTTGGGTAAAACATTTTTCATCTCTTGACCTCTCAAGAACATTGAAAAAAAAAAGCACTACAAAGAGGATGCAGCGTGTCAAATTTGAAAATCCATTATTCTAAGTATTTACCTGATGAGTGATGAACTCCAAGGAAGATTGTCCATCGGGCATGGGATCACCATAGTCATATCTGATCTCCTTCCCTCTATCAATATCCCTTCTTGCAAAGAAAAAGCCTGGAGTAGTTGTTAAACACTTTTAACTTCTCATAACATGCATAAGATGGGGTTGTCTATAGCTGCATCATTAACGTACCTTCCAAGCCTTTGGAAGCTGTCAGATGCATCAATGCTTGTAAAATGATAATGAAAACCATAAATAAAATGTTTAAAGTTACATATAAACAAAATAACATATATGATGAAATATTAGCACTGCAGGAACAATACAGGTGTTATGCAACAATCATAATATAGTAGTCACAATATATGAATCACAATGTATTTTTCCAAAAAATAATTCTTGTTTCATACAATTTGCAAGAGTAATAAAAATCCCTGCCACAGCATGATATTGTTCAATTATCGTACACATTTTAGAGTGCAAGAAAATTATGTTATTCTTTACTCTAAAAAATTGTCATCCTAGTGAGACATGACACTTTGCAATTTGTTGTAAAGATATAAAAATCCAAATAAAAAATATTACGCAGCAAGGTTAAGGATGCCCACAGGAAATAATACGCCTAAAAATATTCCGAGAAAATAAATATAGTGTTGATTTTTTTTTTAACAGCATGAGTTTTGATTAATGGGAATTCTACTATTTGCATACGTAGGAGGGTTGTCCCAGAAATACGTGAACATTTTCAATATCTTTTGTTTCACTAATACAGTACTGTAAAGTTAAAAATTGGCATACATCATGATCAACATTTTTGTGAATTTTTTCTGGAAATGTGCTTCTGATAAAATTAATTTATTTAAGCATAAATTCGGCACATTATTTAATTTTATTTTATTTACCAAGTAATGCATCTCAAATACGGCGTGTGTTACTAAAAGATTGTGGAATTAATTCTTTCAATAGACAATTTCGCAATCCCGATAATAAACCTAACAGTTCGCATTGTTTAACGATGGCCTTGGCTTAGGCTTATGATGTCAAGCTCAGGACTTTCAGTTTGTCTTCATTTCTTTTGGTCTACAAAATGTCTCTTCCAGCACTAATATCTCTTTCATCGTATGGGCAAGAGTCCTATCCCGTTTTAAAGACAGTGCTGCTTAATAATTTTTGCTCCAAATTATCACTAAACGTCACCATTTTTAACAATATCTAATTAAAAGTGTTTTGGCGTATAACGTCATATATTTGTCATTAATGATATCAAATTAATGAATTTTCATACACAAGTATATCAGCGAGATCAAAGAGTATTTATGGAGGTAAAGTTTGTGACATTATATTTCCGTATAGCCTGGTAATAAAGAAAAATTCATTGACAATGCTACTTTTAAAAGTCAATAAATTGCAGTGTGCAGACCACCGATATTTAACACCCTTTAAATGCCGTTTTTACATATTAATGACATCACAAGCCTAAAATTTTTTGTCATAATACTGAAAATATCATTTTCCAACAACTTGCAAAAAATTATTAGTTCTGGTCGAATAGTTTCTGAAATATACAAAAGGTTTGTGTTTTCTGGGACAACCCTCATATATATGAGGTCTTTGCCGAGTTCGGCCAAAGCAACTTTACTTACATCAGCTGTTTGTCAAGTGACATGTTTAAAATTACAAAAAATATGTATGGCTACAAAGATCATAAAAGGACAATGATATACGGATATCTTTTCACTATGAAATTAATTTTGTTTTCTTTAAGACAAATTCCTTAACCTGAAAAGTGCTGGGAGCAACTTCCCCATGCCTGAGAATTATGTAAAATTTTTGATAAACTTCCTACATTGACATAATATGCATTGAAATAATGGTAAAATACGGAAAAAAGCAACAGTGCACAACCAGCTCCCGGCACTTTTCAAAATAGTAGGGATGTTACTACCTTTGTATAAAAATTCATAAATAATAGTGAAGCAGATATCGTTGAACTTTTGAGATTTTCGAGGGGCTGTGCCTGTTATTCTAGATTGTTAATGTATAAATGTGCCTTACTGCAGCTTTATATGAGGTCTACACATTTTCAATTTAAGGCCTAAAAAAAAAATAAGTTTGTTTCCTGTAACCCGACTGACCCATTCAAATTACCCACGGGCACATTTTTTTTTCTTCTGCCAAATCTGCATTTGCTCTTTGGTTCGATCGATCAGCTGATTCCATTTATTCAAAAAATATTAATTTTAGCTTTATTTGAGATATAAAATATGTCATCCTAGTCAACATTTACCTTGAATATAAAGAGTAATCATTATTGTAACAACAATTTCCACCCACAACTTTTTGAAGTTTGTTTTCTGCCGCTAGGCAGCCATGTTGGGTGTCCACTTTATATATAACACCTGGTTAATTCAGTCCGGGGATGTTTGACCCTATTATTCATAAGCAAAAAAAAAAAAAAAAAAAAATCCCGACCTACCGACCCTTGATTTTTTGGGAATGTTACAGGAAACAAACATAATTTTTTTTTAGGCCTAATTAGACTATAAAATATTGATTAATACATTAAAAAATATGACTTAGTTTTGGTCAGATCACACTTATTTTATTTTGATATTTAAAAGCTACAATAATAGCTTGATCTACGCCTCAAGTACAAAGAAACTGTTTGTCAAACTAGGGTGTGACGTCATCTTAGTCAGTGCAGGAAGGTCAAGGTGGCTTAAATTCTACATTCAAATAGTGTTATTATGACATGATAAGTTACACATCAATTTATGTTTACAATATTTATCATGTTTATGAGAAAAGACTGTATTTGAGTGTGTATGAAAAAGAAAACATTAGTATTTAGGATTTATTTGTTCAGTTTCATTGTGACGTCATAATCGATTTCCCAAAGCTCTGCATATAGGCTGATATAAGTATGGGAGTCCTAAACCTAGCTGTGTATACAATATATATATATATATATTTATATAATTAGTTTTGATTACTTGTTAAATATACAATATCAAATTAGTTTTAATTATATTATATACTAAAAGATTAGTTTTAATTACTTTACAACAAATTTATCTTGAAAGTTAGACTAGACAAGAAAGTCGACTTTTGCACTGTAAGAGTTTTGACACTGTTTACGGAAATAAAAGAAAATAAATAAGACAAACATGTCATAGATAGTTGTGTAGATAAATTATCGTAGAGGACAATGGTAATAAACAGTTTGCCAGTGCATTTCCTCTGAAAGTGTAAATAAGTCCAATTTTGGGGAAGGGGGGGGGGGGTACTCAATGTAATATGGAGTTGGATACCTTGTGTTATCATCATACTATGGGTTGAAAAATTTATTACCAAAACAAGTGCCTGTAATACCAGCTGTTAAAAATCAGTATGGGCCACTACCATTTTAGAACTAGTAGCCTCATCAGCTAGCTACCAGTTTTAAAGGCTGATATTTTTAACCGAACAGTTTTCTCTGGTGAGGGGAGGGACTAAGTTTTTCCCAGAGGCTGATCGTGTATGGTGTTAATACCTAAACACACACAGTATACACAGGAAGTCCTTGTTACCTGTGGGAACTTTTATACATATATTTCTAAAAGAAGATTTAAATTTTTTAATTGTAAGCTAGCTTATTGTGAGAAAATATAGCATTATAACTGACAAACTGTCAACTTTAATGCATTTAATTATCAAACAAACAGCATATAGACCTCTTTAAATACAGCGATCTTTACAGCAATGTGTTGACGTGATCCTTGTCATGTAATATGGGAAATTCTGAAAATATCAATGTACCTGTATTTAATTTCAATTATTTATAAGCGTAAAAAAAGTTGTTATACAGTGCCTGGGAAGGTAAAACAACAGATGCGGGCAAATGGCCCTGTTATTTATAGCCACTAACCGGGGTCATTTTGAAATTTAAGGGGTCTAGAGGAAATATATTCAGGTCATTCTAAAACATGTCACAGTTTTGTGCTAATAATAATGCATATACATGTATCTTTGACACCTAAATTTAAGTTGCTAAAGAATGCCATAGGAATTGACAAATCATACGACATTGACTAGCAAAAGTGATTTTTCTGTTTCTAAGAAATTCATAAATCATTCGTCATCTACCACAGCAAGTATTTAGGAAAATTACATTTAAACCAAACACACACTTTTTTTTAAATTGTCGATTTAGAGATCAAGGGACCGGCAAAGATAAAAAACTTCAATGATGTGGTTTTTCATTGTAAGGTAAAAATTTTTTCGTAAACCTGTGGTCAGCCATCCAAAATGACTTAACACTTCTTTACCAATGGATGTAAAATATGTTGAATGTAGGTTCCAATTTTTTAATATGATACATTACAGATTCCATCTACCTTCGACGATGAATACTGTACCGATAGAGCAGACTGATATGAACTTTACAAAGTAGAAAACAATGTGTGTTGGGCTGCATGGCATCGGTGCATCAATGCATTGGGCCATTTTTCGGCAGTATGCACATATAGCACATGATATGGCCCCTTCCCAGGTCCTGGTCATAAAAATTTTTATGATCACGATCAAAATGTTTAGAAAACCCTGTTTGTATGAAAAGTTGTGCAACACTTCTCTTAGCAATTGAGCAAAGGGCAAAAGATGCAATGTGGAAAAGCCACAAATATCTAGAAATACTGTAGTAGGAATTGAATCATGCCAATCTCAAACAAATGCAAAAAAAAATGTTTTATAACTGAGGTTTTTCCTAATGCTTCTGTAGTAGGCCCTATATTATGTTCTCCCTCCTTTCTTTCATCAGAGGTAAGGCATAATAAAAGAATATGTTTGTTTACAGTTACCCGACCGACCCTATATCTAATAGGCAACCCAAATTTTTTTACGTTGTAAAAATCCAGAAGTCACTCATTCGTCGGTTTAACTTTTACATGCATCTTAATCAGTCAAGCTTTTGAAATCGAAAGTACTAGAAATAGTTAGTGCAACATGGAATTAAAGAAGAAATACAAGACAGTTTTTTTCATTGTGTGGTAGCTGTAAGGCAGTTGGCAAGAAAGATATTGCCATATGGCAAGCCCAAACAAAAGTAAAGCACCACACAATGGTAAAACTGTCTTGTTTTTCAACAAATTCATTTGAATTTGTGTATAAAAAAATTCAATAAAATAAAAAAAATCCTACCTATCGGCCCTATTTTATTTCGGCATGTAACAGTAAACAAACATATTTTTTT